TTCAGGGGCCCAATAAACAAAGCCAACAACTGGTCCACCTTTGATGTACTGCACGTTGTTTGAAGATAAAGTTAGAAAATCTGAAACAAGCTATTTAGAATACTCTTAAGAAATCAAAACCATGCAACAATAACTGTCAAGTAGTTTAGAGAAATATAAACCTTCCCATCCAGGATAACAAGTTCGCCATCAACCCATCGAGGATTCTGAAATCCGGGCTCAGCCAGCCTCCCCTGTCCCCTATATCGAGCAACCTGCATTGCAAATATAACTTAGAAAGTAAGGCTGATATGGAAACTGAATGAAATAGATGTTAAAATGAGTTGAACTGAATGATTAAGCGACATACCAACCCAAATTCTTCTGGAATAATCCCTTCATGAGGAAGCTGATATCTCTTGCCAACTTTTGCCCGGAATGCTATCTGTAATGATGATAATTTTTAAATAAAACATTAATACAAAAAAAAAAAAGGGAAAGTAGACATACTTTCGAGATGGAACATTATTCACATCCCCAAACCCAGCCAAAAAACGCAAAAGTAAATGAAGAAAAGGAAACATCTAATGGTACAAACCTAGTTTTGCCCTTATACATACATAGCAAGACAGTTTGAAAACATGGACCTCTATTAAAGTTGAAGGCTTGATGCAGCACTAAAGAAGTATGAGAATAAGACAGAAAATAGTAGAAAAATAAGGAAAGAAAGGGGGAAATGAAAGAAACCTTTCTTTTCTTTTTCGAGGCTAGATTCTTGAGAAAAATAAAAATCAATTCAACAATTCATCTAAAAGATCAAATGTCCAACCCATATAACCAAACATCCTACTTTAGACGAAGTCCCTATTGAATTAGCTATAAAGACATAACATAAAAAAAGATAGATGATACTGGCCTGTCCATCTTGATTAAATACTTGGAACATTTCAAGAAAAAATAAACATTACTAACTTACAAAAATCCCTAAATCCCTAAATCAAATCTCATCAAAATCGCTACATCCCTAAAAACCCTAATTATCAATCCCTAACTTACCTACTTACCTTGGAGCAGCGCTGCAGTGGAGCTTGGAAGTTGTACTTGGAGAGTGGAGTTGGGCGGAGCTCGAAACGGGTCTGCGGTGTGACTGTGTGGTATGGGAGAGACCGGGAGTCGAGAGTCGAGAGAGGAAGGGCGGACGCGAAGTGGGATATAGGGTGTCCGTTCCGTGCCGGTGTGACTCACGGCGGGGCCGAATCTGCTGCCGGGAGATGGGGAGACTGGGGAGTGGCAGACGGGGAGAGACGAGAGTCGAGACGAGAGATATGAGGGTGGAGATGGGATTTGAAGAGTAATGGTGGGCTGTAGATTGTTTTTCAATCCTTACTTTGTCACCATAATTTGGAAATCGAGGCGCGATGATTTGGTAAGCCATGCATTCATGTTCCTAAATGACACCAGTTTACAAATTATGGGTAGTTTGTGGTGTTTTGAGCCAAAAATTGATAAATTATCGTGGCAGTATATCCCCAAAGAGACAATCAAGGATTTCCAGCTGGACAACCTACCTGAAGAGATGTTTCTCATGGATCCACACAACAGAAAATTTCCTGCAAAGATTATAAGATGGAAGGATGAGAGGGTGTGGTGCAGAGGAGGCTGAAAAAGTGTCTGTGCCCTGAACTTTGTACTTCAAGTGGACACATACATCCGTGAATTTGTTGATTGTTGACGCCGGGCAGAATAGTGAGTATTCTGCAGGCTAGTTCTACCAGTAAATTCACAGGGAAGAACACAAGATTAACACCGAAAAACACCGAGAAAACGTCTCTGAAGTTTAGAGAATTTTGATATATCACGCAATAATCAAAATAAGTCCACAAGCCGAACTTTATAGCAAAAATCCAAATTTTATCAAAAATGGCAAAATTCCGAAAATCACGCCAAACGAAATATGGAATAAAATAAGTAGTCTGCGAAAAATCTAGCCCAAATCGGGTTAAAAATCATCTCCTAACATGCAATCGAAATATTGCCAAAAATAGTAAAATTTAACTAAAAATAGCAATTCGAAAGGGAAAACAGTGGAATTTGAGGATGAAAACGGCACACACCGAGCAAAGATGGGTGGCCACGATGTGCGCGCCGAATCAAGCTTTCCGGATTGTGGTCATATCGCGATTCCGATGACTGTAGCCAAAGTTATGGCCAAATTATCGAAACACAACTCAATTACCAAAGTTACGCGAAGAAACACGACGTAATTGCCATAGTTATGCTAACACTTTGACATCATTGCCCCGATCTGCCAACTCGGGATACCTTAGAATCATTAACATGTTATCTGACAACTCAGCATCTGAATCGGACCCTCCTGCATCAATGGTACATTGATTATCAAATTTGTGTGAGGAAATAATTGAAGGATGTCCGTACATGTATTTTACATATTTTTTGGATTTACATAAATTGTGATTTTAATATTTATTAGATTATGTCAACAAGTAGAATTTGTTAGCACTTCTACATTTCACTAGTCTGTTAATTCTTGATGCTCTATTTTCTTTCCTTTTGTGGAAGCTGTTTTTTCTAGAACCCTGCTCAACAGCTTTTATTGTAAGATCAAAGTAGAACATGTATCCCAAACAAATTTTTAGTTCTTCAAACTTTGATTTTGTAGTTCTGCATTTGACCATGTAAGAGGTTTTGATAGCAAAATGCCCATATTCCATTCAGTGCACATCCAAGTATACCGAAATTGAATGCTTGAGGATTCGAGTGTACAAAATATTGAACGGTAAGTGTCATAAATTGCAAAATTTAGAGACCTCGTGAGAAAAAAAAATCAAAGTCTAATATAATTTATAATTAAACATAGATGGCTCTATCTATTAAAGTTTCAACTTATAATTGACAGATTTATAGGTTCAATATTTACATGATAGATGCCGATAGGACTGTCCAATGAGTATAATGGAATAAGCTAATTGAGAGTGGAGTGGGGGGCATATTTTTAACAATGCAAATGCTTTAACTTAATTATAAAATGTTCATGTATTCTATAGAGGAGGCGTATTCCCATAGTAGCTCCCTTACTGAATTAATTTGTCAAATTAGTAAAAAAATCAACGTAGTGTAACATCTTTTAAACTCTCTCACCTTGCAAAAAAAAAAAAAATTTGACTAAGGTGAACTGTTTTTGTTTCCACATCTACATATCCCTAGAAGAATAACATCCAAAACCAAAAATGTCTACAAGCACTTGGCCAGTTCCTCCACTACGATAAGTAGGACGGTTCTTATACTCACCATACCAATAGTAAATCCCTGATCTCTCACCCACTATAACAAAATGGTCTTTTGCAACACATAAAAAGCAACATTCGGTAATTGAGTGTTGCTAAAGGCTATGATTAAAAAACTTGATCGTTTGATTTCCCGCAAGTGAACGGGATCTTGAACAAGTAATAAAGTAGTGAATAGAGTGTCGAACCCACGAGGACTATGTATTTGATCGAGTTAAAATTAATTGTAACTCTAATCAAATAGCAAACAAGTTTTGTTTTTTTTTAATATTAATCCCTAAATTATCGATTAAACTAATGAAAATAAGTAAATTTGTTTTACAAATATGTGAGATGCATTGTTAAGATGACGAATCTCCCTTATTATTTCATTTTTAGTGTAACAATTAAATTGACAATTTGAAATCATTTATGTTGGTCAATGTTCCTAATTTAATTGAAAGCCTCTCTCGATAGCGATCAAATATATTTCCCTCATGTGACATTTCTACCTCTCGATGAAAGATGCAAACATGATAAATGCATTAATGAGTACTAGATAACCTATTGAAACCATATAAAGCATAGAAATTTATCTCTATCCTCTATCGAACCTTACAATATTTATTATAATGTGCTTCAACCCTATTGTCTCTCTCGTTAACAATAAAATCCACTAACAATTCAATTGGTGATCAAGCAATTGAAAAGAACGATAATAAACATCCACAAATCAAATTAAATTATAGTCAAAATAATTAATTAAAAACTAAAAATATCACAACAAGGGTTCATCTCATCCTAACAATGTATAAACTTTGCCCAACATATTGAAATTACAAGAAATCATATTTAAGTGAAAAGACATAACCCGTATTTTTGATAAATTGAGAAGATGAATCTTGAAATCTTGAATCTTTTCAATGATTTCTTGATAAATCTCCACTTGCGCCTTCTCTTTTTTGGCCAAAAATTAGGTTTAAATCTTCACTTGATTGAATTCTTGCATATCTTCTTCAATTCTCTCACAAAAAATATGAATTCTCCTCTTTTAATGATAATAATTGATGAATAATGGAGTATAATATGTACATGAGAGCTCTCTAATATGTATTCTGCTGTTATATATTTGTAGCAGTCGAAAATTGGTGGAAAATCACATCCAAATTGACTTCCAAAAGAGTTCTAATCGGATAAAGAATATTACCTTCGCGCGCAGATTTTTTTGTCTCTGCACAGCAGTCAGTATTTTGTCCATAACTTTCTCATCAGATATCCGATTGAAGAGATTCAAAGTGCATTGAAAAGATAACTTAAAGGGATACAAATTTTCTTGAAATATTGTTTTCCCAATTTGGACGTTTACTATGCCAAAAATGTTGGAATTACATATTCAACATACCAGATCAGCAGCTGATCACACATCGTTCACCAGCTCACCAGCAGCATGCTTATGGCCCTTCCAGATCCTTCTTCAGTTACCTCACACGTTCAGCATGCTTCAGCTCACGAGCACCTCTTCTTCTAGATTCTTCTTAGTTTGTTAGTTGTTACATAATTTAGTCTATAAATAGATCAATGTATTTCCATTATCAATTGAGCTTGATGAATAAATAAATCTCCTTCTTCATCATGTTCCTTCAACTTGGTTTTCCATGTTGAAATCTATCATTTAGTTTCTGCTGTTCTGTTCTATCAATTACATTCTAGTTTAAATTCAGTTTGTTCCATTTTTATCTCTGCTGGTTCACGTTCATCTCTGCTGGTCGCATCTATGTTTTTATTTCTTCTGCTAGTGCATATTTATGTTATCTGTGTTGCTGGTTTAGTTCCTTCAAATTCTAAGAAAAAATAGGTCTCAATATTTGACTAAAAATCTGAAATATAACTTGTGCGATTGGACATTGATTGTGATAATATTTCATTCCTTTTTGAGTTCTAATTCCACCCAATTGCCTCCTAGAAATCTTCAAAGTATCATCTTGTGGTCCAATCAACTATTAAATTTACAATTTGATCCTCAAACTTTGAATTTTGTCATTTTCACAATTTTTCGCTTCTTTCTTTCAATTACTTGTTCAACCATTGAGTTTTACCTATATAACATAAAATACAACAATTTAGGATATATTTTATTAGAAAAATTATCAAATATTGCTATTTTAGGCCCCTAATAAGTGTAAAAAATACGCTTATCAATTTGAATTTTGTCAAAAGAACTACCAAATATCGATATTTTAAGACCCCAAATAAGTGCATAAAATACAATTATCAAATACCCCCAAACTTAAACATTTGTTTGTCCTCAAACAAAATTATGACCTAAATAATAACAAACACACAAATATGCAAAAATATTTGGTTAGACAATCTAGCTTTTTATCTTTGTATTTGAAATTACAGTACTAAATCTACAAACTGGTTCAAAATCACAATACCAAACTAATATCCACTCTTCAAATACAAAACTGACGTGTGTGTATGAAAAATTAAGTAGACAATCATGAATTTATGAGTTGCTTCAATTTCCGACCATTTGGGATTTTTGCATTTTAACTCCAAGTCTATTTTCAATAGGGATTTTTGCATTTTATTTCATCTATAAGACAAAATCATTGTAATTATTTCTCTATACATTAGTGAAATCTCCATTCATCTGCCAATTATTTTATTCTTGAGTTTGTGATCAATTAGTTCGTATCGTGTTATTATTTTCTCGCTTATTATCACAACAAATTGATATCAGAGTTATCCCGGTATTTTCGTCGTAGTTTATAACAGAGATAATGGTTGCAAACAATTATACTTGATTTGCTCGTGAGTCCCCCCCAGACATAAGCATCCTCTTCCTTCATCTCAAATTCCGCATTTTGAAGCAGTTGGACAAGAGTGAAATAATAATATCCTCAATCACAGCCTGTATTTTAAGATGACATATGCTCAACATTCATCTCTTGGAAACTTATAAACAAAATTAGAACTACAAATGGCCCTGATCCATCAAAATAAAAAACCTCCATAGGACTAAAATATAAATGGTAAACATCTTTAAACAAGACGACAAGAGAAAAATCTTCAGCCTTGACATTCAAACAATAATATGACAATTAATTTAATGGCAAACATCTTTAAACAAGACAAAAAAAGGAAAATCTTCAGTTTTGACATTCAAACAATGATTTGACAATCAAAACTAACAACTGTTCTACTTTGACATCTGCACCCCTCCCTCCCTCCAACCAAAAAACAATTCCATAGTAATTTGTATACCTGAATCGAATCCTTATTCCCAGCGGTGATGTTTGAAATGGTCCAACAAGTTTCCTTTTTGATGCGTTTCTTATAATTTTGAGTTGGCAAGTTAAGCAGACAAGAGCTCGATTCTCAATAAAACTCTAATAAGAATACTATCAGCTGATACAAAGAATTGACTAGTCTCGATCTTCATATTTCCACTATCAAAAATTTCAAATCATTGGGATCACTAAACATGTAAAACATTTTCCTAGTCCCCTACAATACATTACAATGGCATAAGATGAAATGCCCCCATACACCTTGAGAACCACAACTAATATTCCATTAAATGATTTAAATGGAGTTAAGATGCATAGTTCAAGAACAGCCCATAGTTATTAAAACCGGATCGAACCGGACCGGCTAAACTGGATGATGGTCGTGTCCGAGTTCATTAATTGGACAAAGAAGAAAATGAACCGGTCAAGAACTGGCCAAACCACTCAAGAACCGGCCGGTTCGGACGGGTTTAAGAGTGACTTGAACCAGTTCAATGTGGTTAACCAAGTATAATGTAATTTTGTTTTTCAATTTGCATAGGGAGAGATTCGAACCTTGGCATTCAAGTTGGAGTTTTGGATCCTTAACCATTTTGGAAACTATTGAGTCGTTATACTACTAGGTGAGCCATATATATATATATTCAGATTTAGAGAAAGAGTAATGTTATTTAGTCTCACTGGAATTGTAACCCCAGTTTAGGTGACACTAGATAATAAGCTAAATGAAAGTGAAATTAAATAAATTATTTAATTCTACCTGTCATTTAAAGTCACATTGCTGCCACCTAGACTGGGTTGCAACCCTATTAGTGCTACATAGCATTACTTTTAGAGAAATGGTTACCATAGTACAGTGTAAAACTTATTTTCTATTTGCAATTACAATAATTCGAACCTTGGCTTCCAATTTTATATTTCACTTGCTTAACCATTTGGAAAACTTGTGAACTGTGGTCATATATTGGGAGCGTATATTTAGATTTAGCAAAATAGTTTTTTTTTTTAGTTCAAAAATATATTTTAATTAAAATTACGATCTAACAATAACTCAACAGTTTCAGTCACCGAGTCACCTGTTGAACCATTGATCCAGTGACCCGATGATTTTTTTCGGATTGGGTTTAATAACTATGCAGAATCCAATTACTATATTCCGAAGATCATGAGTACTCAAAAATAATTATATAAAAAATCATCATAAAAGAAGCCTAGTAAGTGATATATTAAAATGAACAGTGAAGTTACATTTTCATTTCATACCATTTTTCATTTTTCAATTGACAATATGATCATACAAGGAGAAGTGCATTCAGTATGCGTAACGCACAACTATTTTGAAAACGAAATCAGATTTGAGTCGTTTGACGTTAAATAAAAACCAAGAGATTCCCAAGTCACTACTTGGATGGTCAAACATTTAAATTGGTGTTGGAACACAGCGGAAGCCATTTAACATTATGAAGACAAGAAACTTCTGTATTTAAATTCGGGATTTTAACAGAGAGAGAGAGAGACAATTGTAACTTCTGTTAAATATTTTGAAAAAAAATATTTAAAAGTTAAAATAGAAGCGAATATTTTTTTGATTTTGACTGAAGGTGGGTCTTATAGTCAAAATAAGTTTTTACTTTTAACTTAAATAATACAAAAGCAAAAATAAAATAAATTGAGCTCATGTATGGTCTGATCAAAGTTGAAAATAATTATATTATTTAGACAGTGATGTAAATTTTAACATCAAATACATAATTTTTTTATACTTTCCCAAAAAAATAAAAAAAATCCTTATAAATGTGATCTACTTTTAAAACTGACCATGATCTCTGAGGCATGAGATGATAAAGACTAAAAAGTAGAGGTGTCAATCCGGGTGTGCCGGATCGGATCGGGTCGGGCCGCCAACATATGAGCCCGGTAACAGTCCGCGTGAAAAAAAAGCCCGCCCGCTACGAGTTCCGGGCCGGCCCACAAATTTTGGACTACAACCCAAGCTCGCCCGCTGACCCATGTGGGTCAAGGGTCGCGCGTGTCGCGGTTTGTTCTGATTTGACCCGTATTATTGTATAAATAAAAAGGAAAATTTTATTTTCAAGAGAATAAGTTTAGNAGTTTAGTCTATTTCAAAAATAAGAAAACAAGTTTGAAATTTCCAAAATCAGATTTTTATTAAAAAATTTTAAATTTTTATTTATGAAATAAATTAATTTATTATTAAATATTTAATTCTAATATAATATAATTAACCCATCCCACCTTCACCATCCTACCGCTCTGGCGACCGTTCCGATCACCGCCCTACTCCGGCGAACTTCCAATGACCGTTCCGGCAACTACTCCGATTTCAGCGACTGCTCCGGTGACTACTCTGATTCCGACGACTCAGGTCACGAGTCACAGCCCAGGTCATAGTCCAATTCACAAGTCACAGCCCATGTCACAACTCAGGTCACAGTCCAAAACGTTTATAGGTCACAATTTGTATATTGGTCACATATCAAAATTTTTGGAGGTCACAGATTATTTCATGGTCACAAATTAATAATTTTAAAGGTCACACATTATTTTATTGATCACGAATTAAAAAATTATAGGTCACAGATTAATTTTGTAGATCACGGATTATTTTGAAATCACAAATCAATAATTTTATAGGTGACATATTATTTTATTGGTCATGAATCAAAAAATTACAGGTCAGAGTTATCTATCAGTCACATTTTTTCAAATTTATTGATTACAAATTAATTTTTAATCACAAATTGTCGAATTTTAAGGTCACAGTTAGTCCATTATCCGATTTTTTTGTGACCAACACCGACTTCTGTGACCACCAACTCACCACTGCTACCGCTGCATCGCCGCCGCTGCCACCACCACAACCACCACTAACACCGACACCTACACCACCACCGTCGGCCACCACCTGTACCACCACTTTCTAGATCTTCAACAAAATCACCTCCGCCGCCATCACTAGCAGTCGCCACCACAAAACTCACCTCCACCACCAGATCCACCATCGCCATTAGGCCTACCACCATAGCCAACAATCACACAAATCATTCACGACCAGATCGTAGATACTGTAGATCGCCACCAAATTCGCCAACAGCGCCAAATCCACCGCAAAACCACCTCACCAACAAACCGTCACCAACATCGCCATCACCATCACCAACCAACAAACTACAACTACAAAACCAGTAACACAGCCACCACCAACAAAATCAATGCACAACCACCGCAAAAAAAAATCCAAAATCTACACCATCACCACCATTATTTTCATAACGCTAACAATCACCAATAAAAACACCCAAAAACTCCAGTAAAGCAGTAGATCGGAGAAAGAAACCACCACAAAAATATTACGACGGCTATGATATAGCATCACAGCCTATGAGTTCCGTAGCCCATGGCAGTCTGGTATATTCTTCTCGCACCACCAGAGTGAGCAAATGGGTTGTTTCGTTCAAGTAATTGCAAATCAATTCAAATTACATGAAGTAAACCACCGCACAACGCGATGCTCACAGGCATCGCACACCGTGGCACTTCGGTAATTTTCAGTGGTAATCTTCCTTGTGATAAAGAGAGAAAATGTATGGATGTTGTGTGTAGATGTTATGCGTCGTCTGTGGAGGAGCGAAATCGCAGCGGTGGTTCGAGGTTGGGCTGCCGACAGAGAGGGAGGGCGTCGCCGGTGAGGGTGGTAGAGAGAGTCGTCGGCGAGGGTAGGTAGAGAGAGAGTAGAGGAGGAAGAAAAATGGAAATGATTTTTGTGATGAAATTGATTAGGGTTTGTGAGGGTGGGTATGTAAATTAAAATAGTTTTATAATATTATTATTACTATTAAATTTTTTAATTATAATCTGAATTTTGAAAAAATTAACATTGCATCT